GGCCTGCTGCTAGTGGCCCTGTTAGTGGACCATAGTTTGTCCCCAGGGGTGAGGTTGCATTCAGTGCTAGTGTGGAACACTGCAGCCAAATCTGGAGAGCTGGGGAGCGCATTATAATACAGCGCCTTCCCTGAAAAACAGTTTCTGGCCAGGCTGCAGTACCCTCTGGTTACAAAGTAGAGATCTCTGTGGCTAATGGCTGGAGAGAAGAGTTGATTGCTTGAGCATCTGTCAGTGGAGCTGGGAGGTAAATACCCAGTCCTGGCAGGTTGGTCTGTGAAGCAACATAAAGCCTGTGGCTCAGGTATGTTCCCCCTGCAGGGTAAGGTGGAAGCAGAGTTGCAGCTGTTGACTGTGGAGGAGGCTGAGAAAAGTCCTGTTGGTTTGGGCCGAAAAGAACCTGAACCTCTGGAAAAGCCCAAGTGAGTATCCATATTCATCACCTTTAAAAAAGACAGGCTGGGGCTAGGGACAGTTGTGTTCTCTGGTGGCTGGTCATTTGGGAAGATGGAGCAGGCATTGACTAGTGAGGAAACTGAGAGCAGAATCAAGAGGCCCTGGGCTAGGGGGGTCTGCGGGACTGAGGCTGCAAGTGGGTTCCCAGAGCTTAAGTGGCTCCAGCAGGCATTGTGGCTGCAGCAGCTGGGCTAGAGCTGATCTGAACAGGTTACTCAACCCAGCTATGGCACAGTGTTGCTCCTATGAAGGGAAGCTCCAGTTCAACCATGTGAATGTACCCAGCTGGCTGAATGGGTTCAGAATAGCTCTGCTGGATGCTGTTCTGGAGGCTCAGTGTCTCTAGCTCTTTCACAGGAGCTGTGGTTACTGCATCGGCTATGGGAGAGAGAAGGGTGTGGGAGAGAGAAGGGTGTGGGGTGGGCCCCCCCTCCTTCCCTCAGGCAGTGAGATTGGTTGGGGGGAGGAGGCAGGCCAGGCCATGCAGCTCCTGGGATGATGCTTTCCTCAAGTAGCAGGAATATCTGGTGGCCCATGATGATGGCAGGGCACCAAAGCAAAGGGGACAACACAGTGCTCTGTGAATGGAGCCCGGGCTGAACTCTTCTTCCTTCCCTGTTCCAGCCGGCCGAAAACATCTTTCAACTGGTTTGTGAATCCCATGAAAACCTTTGTGTTCTTTATCTGGAAGCGGTACAAGAAATACATCATTGTGTTGTTCATTGCTGCTGTTCTGACCGTCTTCCTGGTTCTTTTGATCTACACCATGCCTGGGTACATTAGTGAGAAGATCATCAATGGATAAATGCTCTCTGGAAAAGGACTACTCAAAGTCAGGGGTGATTATTGCAAGAGCTGAGATTGGACCAGAAAGTTTAATGAAAGTCTGCAGGTGCCCAGGCAACTTTGAGTGAGATGCTTGGAAAAGCGGCCTGTCTTTGGGTAGTTGTATTTCACGCTAAGTACCCATGAGATGTAAAGTAACCAAGTACGTAACATACAAGGCAAACTCCTTGGAGGACCAGCTTTGGGATAAATTTGTTCTTTGTTGGGGGGGGAGGAAGGAAGGACTAGAAAATTATGATGGCTGGGGCTAGCCACACAGACTTGGCAACTAAAACCAGCTGTTGTCTTTGGGAGCAGTTCTGGCAAGGATGGCGATACACAGAGCAATCTCCTCCCATCACTGCACCTTCTGCTGATGTTCCAGCTTGACAATGTCTGGCACTTCCCAGGCCTCTGCCTGAAGAAATCAAAACAGCCTCCACATGTTGTATGGGGGAAGGTAGGTCTTGTGTAGAGTCCTGGTGGAGGTAGGACCCATAAGATCTTTGAAGGAGGCTCTCTGGGGTGCTGCTGCAGCTGCTTGGTGAAGGAGAAGAAGGATAACATAGCCAAGATCCACTTTGAGCTTTGTTTTGGATCTTCATTTTCACTGGAATAAAAAGCTCCTTGCCTGCTCTCTCCAACATTGGACTTTCTGGCTGCTTGCTCGAGGCTAAGGCCTGCCTGCCTGCACGGTCTTCTCTGATGTGCTTTCACCCTTCCTCTGTGATAGCACAGCATTGGGATATCGGTGTGGGTGTTGCCAATGTGAATCTGTATTGTATTGGGCTGATGTTAATTACATGAGACTCATTCTCAGTGTAGTCTTCACTGCCCTGGGGTTGCTGTCTTCTGCACAGGCTTTACCGAGACAAGCCCTGACGTCTACTTTGAAGCAGGTTTTGTGATAGCTGTCTGTGAGATATGTGTGCTCTGCAGGCTGGGAAGTGGCTCCCAGGGCAGAGAACTGTTTGCAGCAGGAGGCTCGCTGTGTTTATAGGGACTTCTTGCCTGTATATGTGCCCAAGCTATTTAGAAATGGGCCAGACATGGTCAGGTGGGGACTCTGGCTGGGACCCTGCAGCCCCTGGTTGGGGGCAGGAGTTCAGCTGGGCTGCTGGGTGGGGTGCTGCTTGGGGCGGCCCCTCCAAGGGCACCCTTAGGCTGCAAGGGGGAGCAAAACAAGCTGCAGCACCAGGGCTTGGCCTGAGCTGGGCCGTCGGGGAGTGACAGTGCTGTGTTCAGTGCCGCCTCACCCCAGACTTGGTGGCTTTCACGTGGGACGTTGGCAGTCACAAACAGCACCCTGCACATCTAGCAGTGCCCGGTGCCCCCCAGCACGACCAGTGCTCCCGGCATGGCCAGCACATGGCCCCAGGCCAATCCTCAGCGTTCAAACTGCCCTCAGCTGCGTTTTCCACGTTACCACCAGACTGTGGCTCCCGTGACTCAAAATGAAGTATCAGTCGCTTTCTTCCTCAAAACGCTTCAGCTCATAATCACAAGATTTCTAGCTGTGTCACAGGGTGTGGGGGGTATGAAGACGTGTGTACGTTATGCAGGACCCCTGTCTGTGTGTGTATGTAGGTGAATGCAGGGGGACAGCTCTCTCTGAGTCTGTGTGCGAGAGGGGCCCCCCTCTGCGCTGTGTGTTGAGGGGACGTGTGAGTGAGTGTGTGTGCGCGCGCGCGCACGTGCTGTGCAGGACCGCAGTGCACCGGGAGGCTGCGAGGGCGATCAGGAGCCTGTGTAGGGAGCAGTGTGTGGGGGGTGTTGTGAGGTAAGGGGCTCCCTCCCGCCCTTGCTGCCGCTCGGGGCCCTCGCCTCAGCCCCGGCCCGGCCCAGCCCTGGCCGGGGGTCCC